GAGATGCCAAGTTGAGCATCCTCGACAACGCTAGCATCCATATGCTACAGGGTCTGAGTCCGGCATGGATGGATCCTCCTTTCCTGTGGAACTGAAAGTCAATGTTGAGGTTCCCAGTAATGAACCCAGAACAAGGTGACACATGTCTTAAATGCGAAATACAATCTGTGCTCTTTTCCTTATAATCAGACAGGGTTAGAGCCAGGGCTGCTGCTGAGTCTTATCAGTAATGTTTGCACTGGGTTTGCAGGCTGTCTTCACTGCAGGATCCAAACCCACATTCCCAGGCATAGGCCAATGGTTGTCTCATTATGGCTTACTGTGGTGGGCCTGACATTTAACTGGGCTCTCCTTCTCTTTCCTTCTCTTGTTCTGGTATAGACACACATCATCCTGCCAGAAAGGTGATGCTGTATTTGTGATGTGCCAAGCATTTCTGAAAAGGACAAGGATTTACTGTTCACACTTCTGGTGATGTTTGAACAGAGACTCAGAGCTGGCATTTAAGTTCCTCTTGCTGGCTTCTCAGGTAGTCAAATTCCAGAGAGGATAATAAGGTCTGAGACCACTGTGTCTTGAAATCACAAGGCAGGTGTCTTCCCTGAGGCGCCTGGGGGTACAGTATGGGGACTGAAGGAAAGAGGCTGTGCAGAGAGAGCAAAGCCCCAGAATCAGCTGAGAAGAGGAACAGCCACAGAAACGGGGCTTATTTTATGTACCAAGTACAAGAGCGGGTACCTTACAAAGCTCTCTTTCTGCTGGTTTAGACCACCCAGTGAGGTGGGTGGATGTCTATTAGGAGTGACTGCCCCACCCCCAGCCGAGCAACTGCCATCTTGGGGATGTCAACTGAGCACCTTGCAATGGGAGTATCCCAGCTGAGCTGTTTACATCCCTTCCTGGACACGGGGAGAGTCAAGAGATTCTCACCTGCGTATCCAGCTGCTCTCTGACAGGAACTAGACAGGTTAGTGTAGCTGAGATGGGGCGAGGTGGCGGTGGCAAGGGGGGTTCTCATCTACAGCTATGGGGAAGGAAGCTTTGCCCCTGATGGATGAAGACTTTCAAGGTGTGGCATTCTGGCGGCGGAGCACCCACACTCCTGTAAGTAACCCTTCACCTATGCTCTGTAAAGAAGCCCAATAAATTCATTGGATCCCTGGAGAAAACTCGGGTTGGATCTTAAGAGGAGGGTGGATGCAGCTTACATCCGCCCCTGAGGAGGAATCTTGGCAAAGTTACATAGCAGAATATGGATTCTATTCACCCCAGTACTCCAGGAGGAGGCGTGGGCCCCCTCTTGAATGGGGACCTGAAGTGACACCTCAGAAGAAGAACAAAGGTCCCAAGTTAACAAAGAAAAGTGGAACTAGGGTTTGAGGATCACAGCGTTTTTTCATGCTTTGCAGAGTGGGTGTGGTTGATCTTAGTTCCGCCCCAAGCCCCATTCCTGGCAGTGCTGGGCACCTTAAAGGGTTGCCCTCCTGCTGCTGAACTTGATTCCTTTAAAAGACAGGCTCTCACTGTGTAGCCCAGGTTGCCTTGCACTCACGATTCTCCTACTCCGGCCTCAGAGGGCTGGGATTCTAAGCATGTGCCATCACACCTGCCTTGAAGCTTGGACACTAGTGTCTCCAAAAAGGTCCCCAGAGTTGGCACCACTGGAAGCTGTAAAACCTTTAGAAGAGGCTCTAAGACCCCAGTCTCTTCCTTCACACCATGATGTGCCACCAGAAGCCCAAAGTCATGGATGGGGCCAAAAAACCACGGACAGAAACCTCTACACCCAGGAGTAAAACTAACTTTCCCTTTATAAGGTGGTAGCTATCTGTCAAGTTCACAGAAAGCTGAATGAGCCCCACATGATTTCAAGTGAACAACAGAAACAGCATCACTGGTGTCACAGCCAGAGTGGACGAGAGGCCGGTCATGAAGGCAGTGCCACCAAGTGCTTAGACCCGGAACCCACCGGCCACTGTGTATCTACCACTGCGTTGAACATACAGCTATTGTCGCCTTGGTTACTGGCTCCCGCGATATGGTCACACAACTGTGCCAGAGTAAAGACCAGGGTGTGCTAATAAGTAAGTGCCCAGCTCGCACTCAGATGGGGGTGGGGGAGAGGGAGAGAGAGCAGGATGTCTAACATGTCCATTTGCCAAGTTCTGCGGTGTGAACACTTTCATCACGGGCAGTTTCCACATACTAATGACATCAGCGAACTAGCAGCTGGGAAGAACGAACAGGAACACACAATCACGTGGCAGTCACAGTTCTGCCACAGACATGACAGCTAGAACTCGAGGAGCCCACAGAATATTAAATGTGTGTTAGGAAGTAGGCTTGCAACTAGACATCTTTGTCTTCCACATACTTAATCTAAGCTTACATAACTTTGGTGTTAAGAGTGGCCACACTGAACTGCTGGTGAATTCCCTATAGAACAGAACACTTGGTTCCTGTAAGCCTCATGAGCCACTTCGAATACACAGTTCACTGGAAAGGAGAAAACATTGTTGCCACGTGGTGGTCAGGGGCCCAAATTCAAGACCTAGAAAAGTCTCTTGGGGCATCCAGAGATGTTGGGGGAAGAACTACATGGGGTGTGGGAGGTGGCAGGACGTTGTCATTTTGCTGAGGCTGTTTTGGGATCATGAGCAGCAACTGAGACCTACGCCCCAGTTCTGACTGAGGTTTTCCTGTCCTAGCAGAGCTGTGAGGAACATGCTGGGCATTCGCATGTCATCACATGCAGTTCTCCGTGAGGAAGGGATATTCTTCCTGTCAGGTACCCCACTTTCCCCGAGATCACCCGCCAGACTGTGTCCTGAAGAAGCTCTCCTTGCTTAGCTCCATCTCCCAAGGAGAATCCTGCTCTAAGAGCGATCTGGAATCCATCCCTCCTTACTCACCTTCCATGCTTCATTTGGGGGTTCAGCCTTGGAGGAGAAGCAGCCGGGCAGATGGCCTGTTTGGCTCTAAGGAACAGGGGAAGGCCCTACAGAGTCACATGCCACACAGTGTGGAAGTGAGCAGCCCAAGTCCCCCCAAAAGAACGGTCTATAAAACAGATCTGCATGATAACGCTGTGTGAGGGCAATTAATTGTTGTCAAAGCATTTTGCTGGCTGCATTCATCGCTTACGTGGAGAATAAAACTGTCATAACGATGACAATTTTATTCAACATTGGTGCAATTACCGAGCCTAAAAATAGGGAGCAGGGGGATATTTTTCTTGAGGCTGAGCTGTTACCCTTGTCGCATGGCTGGGACTGCCACCCCCACCCTCACCCCCAGGAAGGAGAGAGGATAGGAAGAAAGCTGAGACTCGCTGAGCATTGCTGCTATGAGAGGAGGGAGGGGCAGTGTGGGAGGAGGGAGGGGCAGTGTGGGGAGGAGGGAAGAGCAGCTCAGGAGGAGAGAGGGGCAGTGTGGGGAGGAGGGAAGAGCAGCTCAGGAGGAGGGAGAGGCAGTGTGGGAGGAGAGAGGGGCAGTGGGGGGAAGAGGGAGGGGCAGTGGGGGAAGGAGGGAGGGGCAGTGGGGGGAAGAGGGAGGGGCAGTGAGGGAGGAGGGAGGGGCAGTGAGGGGAGGAGAAAGGGGCAGTGGGGGGGAAGACCAGAGAATGAGATTTCCTGGGCCAAGCAGGTAGAGACAGGCTCTGTGCTATGAGCTCTCTAGACCACAGCCATGGGAGGCGGCATGCCCCTCCAGTGACAGATGAGGAAGCGGGATCTCAGAGAAGCACCACTAAGATCGTCATCCCATCCTCCCCAGAGCAGACAGGCACCCCAGGTTGCTCGTCGTGAGAAACGCGAGGCTTGCTGCTGTCCTGGCCATCATCAGTCCCTTTCCTCTTTCTTCCCCACATCCTATCCATCACCCTTCGTATACTACGTCACTCTTTTGGGAAAGCAAAAATACCAAGGCCCTGGAAGCAAAAAGACTCGAGGTTGGCAACTCGGCAAGTGTGGCCTTGGCTTGGGTCCTTGACCGCTGTAGATTGGGTTCCAAAGCTTTCAGCTACGGCTGTGAAGACAGTCGCAGTTCCTCCGTCATAGTGTCATTGTGAGGACTAAATGAATGTGTATCGAATGGCCGGCAGGAAGCTGAGGCATTGGGAGCAGGTAGAGGGCAGGGCAGAATTTCCTATATAGAGTACTCACCGTTATCAGGCATAGCGGATGTGGCGTCATCAAGCCAGAGTGGAGCCTGACATTCTCCTCTCGCCTCAGCACAAGGTGACCTTATGTGACTCTCCACCGTCCATCCAGGTCACACCGCACAGCAGGGAAACAGAGCCCATACTCCAGGCCAGCCCAGGCACAGGCTATGCCCCTGAAGCACCCTGACCTGTGTGTGGTACATGGGTTCTAGCTTGCTCAACAAATGAATACTTGAGGCCCTGGGAAATTTGAGGCATTTTTCCTGTCTTGCTCACTCCTTCCTTTCATGGGGCATACAATGAGAGACAAAGTTAGCCACGCAAGCAAAATTCCAGGGAAGAAGCCTGCATGGTTCTAAGGCCACGCCTCCCAGCAGCTGCGTGTGTCTGCACGTGGCCTGCACGCGGCTCTTCTCATTTACCGAGGCACCTGGCACACACCTGCGTTCCATAGGTAGTAGCCCATCGAACTTATTTTTACCATCAGGAAAATGAGCTTCTCTTGGGGGACTGGAAATTAATTGTAATTCCTATGAGATCATTGGACTTGTTTCCCAATTGCAGCTGATGGTGGGGGCAGGGGGGAGAGGGGGAGTTTGGAATGCTTTTCCTCCATAAATAGGTAAGAACTGCCCAAGAGGCGCTGGCAGCTTTGAATGATTTTAAAGGACCGAGGGAAGAATCGCTCACCTCCCTTGAATCCATGCCCCCAAGCACTCCCTATGCAGCTGTACACTTTAAAATCTTTTCTCATAAAAGTCAGTGCTAGCCGCTGAGCTTTAACAGGACCCCAAGCTACAGGGGCGACACAAAGGGCATGTTCTCTAAGTCAGACATCAGGTTCAAAGGCAAATCTTCAAAGTTCCCTCTCTTTAATATTGAGAAAGCAACTGGGTTTTGTGGAGGGTTGTGCTGGGAAAGTCGTCTACAACATGCAAAACCCTGGAGCATGAATTTCACAGTTCCACGTTGACAATTTTTGATATTGGTGCCCCCTGTCAAAAGCTACTTCAGCCCTTTCGGAAGAAGGTGAAGGATGAAACACTCATCCTGAGGAGCCCAGAGACCCCTTCCTTACCTTCTCCATGTCAGCTGCTTTTTTGCAGGACGGTGATGGAGTTAGCTTTGCACCTGCTACCCAGACCCCACCACTTGCTAGACATCCTGGGAATGGTACCCATCTGAGGCCATGCAGCCTCAACAAGTTACCAGGCACGGGAAGGCATTCCCCCGAAATGTGGTTGCAGAGGCTTTTATGCTACCGGCCCCTTAGGGAAGCTGCATTTTGATTTTGTTCTTTTTTGTGAGTTTTATTTTTTTCCCTCTGTATTTTGTTTTCTGTAAAAATTTTTAGAAACACGGTGTCATTTTGAAACTGTTTCTCCTACCTACTAGTTTGCCAACCATATGGAGACACAGCCAACCCGGGATGGGATGGAATGAAGGAGCCGGTGAGGTGAGCCACTGACGTTGTTGCTGCATTTTAAACATAGCACACACTGTGTTACACAAACACCATTCAAAAACCTGAGTCACAGGATTCAGATGGGAGCGTATATAAATAGTGTGTGTGTGTGTGTGTGTGTGTGTGTGCGCGCGCGCGCGTGTATGCGTGTGTGTGTGTGTGTGTGTGTGTGTGTGTGACTGTGTGAGTAACGGTAGAAAAGCAAGGAAGTTTGGGAAATCAGGTCAAAATCATTGTGCCTAATTTAAACATCACAAAAATCTCAGCCTCGTCACTATTTACACCCCCTCATACAACTCCCACCCAAAAAAGGAGCAAAAGCCAAGTGGAAAATTCAAATAAGCGGACGTCCCCATGTTGAACTGAGCAGCACAAAGGCTGTGCAGCATCAATTGAAGTGATAATTATGTTGTCTCGCTTCCTGGCTGTCCACACCACAGGAGCTCTGCTCTCTGTTCTGGGCTTCACACTGTTTTGAGGGTTTTTTTTTTTTTTTTGGCTTTGGCTTTGGCTTTGGCTCATGCCAGCCAGCTGATTGGCATGTCACACTCTGATGGAATTTTGCTGCAGAGGCAGAATACATCTTGGGGATGGTGAAGAATTCACACCTAGGACATGTTGCAAACATTTTAAAAATCCATTTTCTCACACTCCCCCCCCCCAGTTTGCACTGGACATAACTTGCTGCCAGCATGCTGCCCCACACCCAGCTCAGGAGGTCACTGCTTAGGATCTTGGACATAAACAGAGCAGGCTTGGGGCAGACCCCAGATTTGGGCCTTGCAATGAGCAAAGCTGGAGGCCACAGCTCTGGAAAAAAGTCTTGGTATCCTTAGTAGCCTTGAGGGTCTCGATCATCTCTGAAGACCTGGCCTTGGCCCCGAGTCATTCTGTCCCTTCGTTGGTGGTGTCTAGCTTCCAGCCTCATTCCTGCCATCCAGTCAGGCAGTCCACATGAACTTGCAGGGCACCGATGCTCAGTGAAGTGGATGAAGAGAAGCAGCAACTGCAGCTCCAGAGGTTGCGGGTTTCGTCAGCTATAAGCTGGCACCCCCAGTGCTCAGAGGGGCTCTGCCATCCATGTGGAATGTGAACAGCGAAGGCAGCAACACACACAGCAACACAGCAGCAACTGATGAGCATGGGTAACATGGCCCTGTCTGCCGTGTGACTCCAGTTCCTTCCGATCAGTCTCTGTCAAGCTGGGTGTCTCCAGCCACAGCCACAGTGGTTCCCAGCCTCGGCCTCTCCATCAGCAGGGTCTGAGTTAGGAGCTCACTAAGGTGTAGATCATGCTGGATGCAGACAGAAATGGGAAAACAGATGTCAGCAGGAGCCTGCAGCTCTCAACAGTCCCCTTCCGAGGCTGGAGCCCATGGCTTCACCCCATTCCTGTCTCTATGGTTTCCAACTCACCTGATCCTTCCGAGGCTTTGCTACCACCGCCCCCACACACACACAATGCAGAAATGTTGGTCTGTTGAGATAGCATCCCGTGTCCCCCATGAAAGGTGTTTTGTCTCAGGATGCGTGGGAGCGCACTCACTGGGATGACGACTGTGGCTGGCCACATTGCATCATGGGCCAGGTGCCTATGGGGTGAGGGCACAGCAGATTCTTCCTACGACCGCTGCTGCCACATGCTCACATGACGACTGTGCCCAAGGGTCCCCAGGTGATGCTACAGAATGTGTCAGTCCCAAGGGTCAGGATGAAGATCACTGTCACCGATGCCAGTGTGGGTGTATGATCAGTCTTCAGGGCAAATAGCATAAGGGAATCTTAACCTGGCATAGGTTCCCAAGCCCCCTGCTTTAGGGGATGAACAGTATGCAAGCAGGGAGACCTGCATTCCTGTGGCCTGACAAGGTCTTCAGGCTAACTCCACAAAGCTGATGAGTTCATCAGAACTATGATCTAGTACTATGTCTATTTAGAAGAGGAAGAAGCACAGCTTTCCACATGAGAGACCCCTCAGGTTTCCACAGCTTGGAGCAGGAAGCATCTGGACCCTTCATGAAGGATAAAATCCTGAGGCTGGAGTAACCCTTAACTTAATGAAGAAAGCCCTAGAATAATTCTTTGACTCCCCAAATCCTCACAGCTGAGGTTAACCATAAGGCTACACCTCCCAGGCCTCTCCATCTGCTGACCCTGGAGATCGAGGGCGGAAGCAGGAGCAAGCCAGCCTTCCAGAGTGTCAGGTTCCACCTCAGACACATGTAACAGAGAAGTATAGCAAACATGCCAAGATTCATGTAGCAGAGACGTGTAGCACACATGCCAAGTGTAGGAGTCTGGATAGTAGATCTATTCCTACTGACAGGAACATCAGCCAACGGTACCATCTCTATCCCCTGCCTAGCTCTATGCTGTCCCTCACTTTGGTAAAGACTCATCTAGGGGTCTGGGCTCAGCTTGAAGTTTAGTCTCTGAGTCATACTTAGTGTGTGACCATGATCTGTGATCTTGGGAAATGTTTCTACCATCCCATCACAGATCCAGCTTCCTCCTTTTACATATGTGGGTAAGGACAGAATGTTTCTGATAAATGTGCCAATGTATATGGAGTTTGTTTTGGAATGTTGGGCAATGTAACTCCCCAGCCTGCTACACCCAATCTGAACCCAGGGTTGACTGTGAAGTTAGCACCCCTACCCTCTTCTGCCTCTGCAGAGATAGCACTGGGGTGTTTGGGGACATCCATGACCCTGCAAAAGGAGGAACAGGATAGCAAGGTGATCAGGAAAAGGCCCCAGAAATGAATACAAAAGGGAGCAGGAGATATTTCCAGAACGAGGAGCCTCAGGAGTCCAGACCACAGGATGACAGCTCAGGGCTCTCTGCTGAGCTAGGGTGTTCAAGGGATGAGGAGAAGAGAGGGACCCGGAAGCGGAGCTGCAAAGTCGGCAGGATTTGCTCAATTAGGACGGTGTTATGAAACACGGAAGAATTGCAGCCTAAGCACTTAATGACCCAATGTGCCACTCTGCGGGGTGTGCCTGCCACTGGAGGGGGAAAGCCCACTGTTACAGTATCCAAGAACCTTCACAAACAAGCGGAGGGCAAAGGATAATGAGGCTGGCTCCTCGGTTCACTGACACCCCAATGGGCTGAGCTGCTGGGCTCTGAAGGGCAGGAAGCCCTGCTGGGAAGAAGCCCTTGACAGTCCTTCCCTTCCGCTGCCTCCTAAGAGATGTTATTAGATGCTTCCCTGAGTTGCTAAGATGTGAGCAGAGGCATCTTCCTTCCCCAGAAACCCTTGCTCCTGAGTCAAGGTTAGACAACTGGGACCAGATTCAACTGGCCAGGATCTGCTGTCAAGGGCCACTTCCCCAAAAGCTGCCTCTCCAAGGCCAGACTGAAATCCCTTCCCTTTGCTGCTGAGACCAAAGCCAGAAGGAGATGGGACTCACCAGTACAGGTAGTAGAAGAAGGACAGAAGGTAGAAGGCTAGCTTACACCAGGCCTCCTTCTGGCAGTAGCTCAAGGTGTCCGCGTTCATGACGACCGGTGGGTCATAGGCTAGTTCTGAGCTGTCTGCTGGACAGTGGAAATACCTGCAGGAAAGAGGACACGACAGTGATGTCTCTGAGGCTCGGGGCTTCCCATGCTGTCAGACCACGGCCCCCTAGCATCAGACTTGTCCCTGAAAATCTGTGCTTCCTGCCAAAGTCAGATTCCAACCATTGCCATAGCGCAACTCGGTGGGTGTTTAAGTCCTCCAACGGATCCCTGGTATCATATAATGGGGCTCTGACAGAAGGAAACATGTTATTCAGTATTACGGTCTGGATGTGAACTCTCCCCCAGAGGCTCATGTGTGGGCACTCTCGGTACCAAGCTAGTTGTCCTGTGTGTGCAGAGGGTATGGAATCCTTAGGAGGTAGGGCTTCACTGGAGGAAGTAGAGAAAGTTATAGGACAGCCCCACTTCCCGTCCCAACGCCATTCTGCTTGAGGATGACTCTGATAGCCTGGGAGGCTCCAAGAGCTCCCTTTGGGTCAAGACATGGTGGAAGAATTGTATCACCACCTCCTCGGTGTCTGCAATCTGTCTACATAGTGCCTTGGGCTATTTCCCCCTCCCCAGATTCTCATTTAAACCCCTAAATACCACAGGGAAACATTATAGAGTCATTTCAAAGGGCATGGGAGTTTTGTTGTTGTTGTTTGATAGAGGGGCCGGAAGAGCAAACTGAACATCCACCATCTCCGGGGAAGCTGGGAAAGAGAACTGTAATTGGAAGAGTCCTCACCAAAGGTCACAGCCACATCAACTCCACAGCTGCGAACTAAGGCCCAGAGGGCTCGTACAACAAATGGGGCCCTTTGTCCGTGTCTGCATCTCTTAGTTCATGTCCCACCGACATCTGCAGGGCATATCTTCCCTGTGGAGCCCAAGACCTCAGTGCAGCTGGAATGGCCCAGTGGTGCTCTTCGATCACGGCGGGAAAGGTTCCTGGGAGGCAGGGGTCCAAGCTGCCTCTCCTGTCAGGCCTGGAATAGTAATGGTTCTCCATCCTGAAGAAGCACCAGGCCCGGCCCTGACCTGAAGGTTGCCATGATAGCACATACCTGCAGAGCTGGCATCTCAGTCACCTCGTCTTCCCCTTCAGAGAATTGCACCGACATTATCTGTCACCAACACTATGCTAAGAGGACATCAGAAGCCAGATTCGATGACAACTGCCAGCTCATAGTCCCTGGGCCACTCACCTCTCCTCTTCTCCAGAGCAGGTTTCAAACCTATTTGCTGTCACTGTGGCTTTGTTCCCAGGTGACCTCATTAAATGGAGGCAGAGCATCAGGGGGACCAAATGGCTGGGTGGGAAGGACCGACTCTTTTGATTGCTGCTCACCAGATTGTCCTTCCCTGGATCCATCAGGAACCCATCCTGGGCTCAGCCAGAAAATGGAGATGCAAATTGTGATGCTGATGTAAGGTGATGTATGCAAACAGCCTCCCAAACAGCCACTAAAAGGCCGTGGCCAGCCCAGTTTGACTGAAGCAAAGTGAATGCCAGGGTAGACCTGTCTGCAAGAGAAATGCCGTGGTATCGACCTGACAGAAAGGAGGCAGACAGGCCAGGGGTGTTAGCTTAGTCTGTGAAGTGCTGCAAGCGGAGGACCTTGGTCCAGCATCCAAAGCTCATGTTAATGCTGGGCATGGTGATGTGAGGTTTAATTTCAGCACTGGAGATATCCAGGCCATGACAACTTTCCCTGGCCAGGACCCGTCTCCATTATCTTAGCTCCTTATGTCTTCACCTGGAGTTCTGTTGTGTTCCTAGTTACGGTTTTGACTTCGACCCATCTCTGCTGGTCCATCCTTCACACTCTGCCAGGATCAGCTCCTGAGCTCTAAAGCAGTCATTTTCCTCCTCCAGAACTCCTCATGGCTTTCCAGCCCCTACAGACCCCGCTCTCCATCAAATCCTCTTGGACTCCCCACATGAGATTTCCAGCTGCTCATCAACTGCACCCTCCAAGAGCCCCTCTCCAACCATGCAGAGAGATAAAATTGTCCCTGAGTCTGCCAAGGGCTCTCTCATGTCTGGACATTCACACATGCGTCTCTGGATTTTTCTGCACTCTTCAGACTAACTTAAGTGTTTCTTTCCCTGCATTTCTCAGATGTCTGCTAAGAATGCAATTCCTTCTGCTGCTAAGCTGGACCTAGGATGAAGATTCATACGTATCTCCATCTAGGAGTTCCCCTCAATGCCTAGCAATGCTCCATACCATTCTTAGCGAGAGAGTGGACTGTTCTAGGTGTGACCAATTCAAGGCTGTATACTATGGGAAAGCAGCAATGATGGGCCAACTGGCTCAGGGTTCCAGAGCTCTGGGACTAAATGGTTCAAGGCAGGAACCTGATTCACACAACTACAATCTCCACTTCTCTGGTGTTTCCCACTTCTGCTCCATATCCAATCCTGCAGGAAGCCTACACCGCGTGATCCAAAGCCCAGTCTTAGAAGAGAATATTTAACATCATAACTGTCCCAGGAAATCTGGCACAACTAGTAGGTGCTTTTTGAAAAAGGAGAAAACTTAAACGTCATAAAGGTTGCCCTTTTAGTGTGTATATACAATTTGGTGAATTTAGTATATTTATAGAGTTGTACATCTGTCGCCATTATCGACCTTCAGAGCATTTTCATTACCGTTACCTTCAAAAAAATTACCCACTGGGAGTCATTTCCTATTTCCCCTCAGCATTTAAAAAGTACTAGTTTACTTTAAGTATCTATATATTTGAAAATTCTGGAAATCTCCTATCAACAGACTCATATAATGTATTTTCATTGGGTGTGGTATCAATAATGTTCCATGGTATGGATATACATTTTCTCTACCCATTCATCAGCTAAGAGGCTTCAATGTTTCCATGTGTTGGATACAGTGACTAATGTTCCAGCTGCTTCTCACACTTGCCTGCAGGGTTGGGGTTGATTAACAGAGTCAAGAGGACTTACTTCCAGCTCTGGAGAGTAAGTTTGTTCTAGGTGGCTTTGTTTGTCAGTCTGACATAGCCTATAGTCATCTAACAGGGGACCCTAAACTGAGGAACTACCTGGATCACACTGACATATGGGCATGTCTATGAGGGATTGTCTTGATTGCTGACTGATGTAGGAGCCATCCAATTGTAGGTAAGTCATGACATCCCCTGGTCAGGTGGCCCTAAGTTATGTAAGAAAGTTAGTGAACATGAGTCTGCCAGTGAGCCAGCAAGAAACAGTCTTCCATTGTTTCTGCCTTCAAGCTTCTGCTTAAGTTCCTGCCTCTCAATAATGGGCTGTAACCTCTAGCCTGTTTCTTCTCTAAAGTCCTTAGGTCAGAGAGTTCATAACAAGGTTTCTAAAAGAAAGGGATGAAAGGCAGGCACCTAGCGGCTGCTCTATCCTGGCACACTGTCATTGAGTGGAAAGGTGAAGGAGGGGGGACCAGTCCCCGACAGACCTACCTCCAGAAGTGGTAGAAAAGCAGGGGAACATTCAGCCCCAGGGTGAGCCACTCCTGCGCACACAGGAACATGATGCAGAAGAGGCTGTGGATAGAGTACTCCGGCAGCACCAGCTGGAGGGGAGCGGAGACACACACAGACCTGGTCAGAGTGGGGAAACACGCCACCCATTCACTGCCTCCCAGGCAAAGGTCCGCCCTACAGCACAGCCACTTCCCTGTGACTTACCACAACGGGAAAATGCTCCGTGTTTTAGACCCAATCCCAAGTGGGCCCTCTGTCCTTGCCTGGAAACAGGGTGGAGCTTACCCAGTACCTGGGCTGTCTGGCAAAGCGAGTAGTGTTCTGTGTCACCTGCCACCTGTGTTTCTGGCTCCTCTGTGCCCTTCTCTAGCTAATAGGTGTGTTTATTCCCAATACAGGAAGGTCAGGAGTTCCTTATACAGAACAGCAATGGCTGACGATAGGCAGATCAAGAAGACCCTGAGAGTAATGCCAAGTAGCAATGGTGAAGACAGGTCACCTCTATGTGAAAGGAGAGAGATGAGCTCAGACTCAGAGGGGCCAGATGGAAGAGCAGCCAACTGGAAGAGGGACATCTCTTCTGGGTGGGTACATGTGACATAAATGAAAACTGTAAGCTAAAGATGACTGGAAGGTGGAAATTCAACCCCTTCCAGTAAGGAAAGCTATAGGTATACAAACACACTCATCAGGCAGAATGCATACACACACACACAAACACGCATGTGCATGGCCTATGCATCATCACGAATGCTCTGGTCTGCCAACAAACACTCTCTTTCAAGGGCCATCTCAAATTTGTTTCTAAAGGAAGCCCTGCCCATCCTCTCCTGCATCACTCATCCGCATACCTGATCCCTTTTGTAAACTTACACAAGAAGAGAAATACTTAAGTTTCAATTCACCGACTATTGTCTAGGAGGTGAAAAAGAATATTACATTTATGTGTGTGCACACTCGCATCTGTGCCATAGTATGTGCATGCAGGTCAGAAGACAGTTTGTGGGAAACAGTTCTCTCCCCCCCCCACCATGTGGGTTCCGTAGATAGAGCTCAGGTTATCAGGCTTGGTGGCAAATGTCTTTACCTGCTGCGTCATCTCTCCAACCCTGCCATGGCATGCTTTCTGACACAGCCTTAGAGACCGTCCCATGATCTATCTACATGGGTTCTCTCCCACACCTGACACATATGTATATACTCCAGCACTCCACGGTCTGACTCGGCCAGGGTCTATCCTATTCCAGTCTCCCTTTGCAATGTGCTTTGCATGTCTTCCAACACATGTGACCAAATGTACTGGCCCGACCTGTCCCATACTTCTATAGCACGGCTAGGTGGCCCCTGAGATGCAGTCTGTGGTTACAGACCTAGATCTCTGTGGGTGGCAACAGCTGCTTCAGATCGATCTGCTTGGGTCCAGAACTTGACTTTAGCCTTTCACTGTAGGCAGATGAGCTACCTGACCAGTCTGGCTCCTGTGGAAATGAGGACGTATTCGCACATTAAAACAAATGCACATACAGGCACACATGTGAGAAACGTATTTGGTAATTGGGGGCCATCTTTGTTATCTGGTGGAGAGCGAAGCGCATTAACCTTCAGTTACTCGGTCAATGAGCGTGGACTCAGACACAAGCACTGTTCCTCCAGCGTCATGACTTCAGGGGTGAACCAGGCACACCCTGCACCTATGAATCTCAATAGTGTGGTGGGGAGCATGTCTCCTCATTTCTCCTTAGAGAACCTCAAAGTTGTCCTTACCAGCTTTATCTGTACCCAGCAGGGCATCAGCCAGCTGCCTCCCATGCATAGAGAAAGCCCACGTTCTTGGAGCTACCATGCCAGCCCTGCTCTGCCATACACATCTCTAAATTTTGTAACCGTCACTTCCAAGCACTTATGCCAAGTAATTAGCATGTTTAGAGTCAGCTACTCTGGGCTGAATCATCCATTACAGCTCCATTCCCATCTCCAAGGCCAATGACAAACCTCTGAAGGGTGACAGTTCAGAATTCATGTCCCTCTATCAATCACATGGCTCCTCTTTCTTTGGGACTTCATTGATAGCAGAAGCTGTGACAAGCAGGAAGGATCTGTCACTAGTCCCTGTGTGAAGGAAACTGCTTAATAAAGGCCAGCTCACCTTTTGGGGTGAGGAGAAAAGCTAGCAAATCCTTTTAGTATTCTGCATAGTTCTTCCAACCGCCTCTGAGTATCTAAAACACCGAGCAGGCTCCTCCCCTTAGCCCTAGGAGACTTCACGCAGCAGCAATGCCCTTGTGGTGTACTTACTATCCCTCCTACCTCTCCAGTATCCCTTGTCACACTGATATGGACGATGTAAGGATCTCATTCCTTCCAGACCAGATGGAGCTTAACCAGCCCACCTGCACTGGCCTGCACCATGGGCCTCTGCACCACCCCCTCCTTGTCACTCCTTGGCCTTTGGAGCATAAGACATTGTGTCCCAGATCCCAGCAGTTGGAAGAGACCCCATGGGCTGTGAGTGGAAACTATACGAGAAGCCTGGAACCCTTAACAGCCAATGAAAAATGTCCCAAAGTCCTATTTTGTTCTCTCTGACAAAGTAAAGAACAGTTACGACAATGGGTATACTCCATCATCCTGACACCGTAAGTAAGGAGAGGGGCCCCAAGGCAACCTGTGATGGGCAGACTGAGAACAAGACATAAACTTTTGTTGTTCTGAGCTACTGAGAGTCATCTGTTGCTTCTCACTATGACACACTTTGATCCTTCGTGTCTGATGTAGTCAGAGCCCCAGAATGAGAAATCAATGAGAAAAACGAAGCTGTACTCTTATTCCCTCTTCATCCTCCCTGAGCATCCTTCTAGACCTTTGTTTAATAAGCCACTGTGGATGGTGTGACATGCTCTTGTCACTGGGCATGTTGAGCACCAGGCAAAAGGCCACCAGGCAGGCATAATGCTTATTCATCCCGGTGAGCAGCTAGCTGGGTGGGTACCTCCCAGCTCAAAGAGAATAATGGCTAGAGAAAGATGCCCCACCCCTAACCTACCAGAGAAAGTACGAAAAAGTTGGTTGAAACTGACCATACCCCCGGCCAGTATCATCCCTTAGCATTGGCAGATACTGTTTTCTGCAACAGGATTGTTGAATGGCACCAATCGCTGTGATTCACTGAATGAATTATAAATAGAAACCACTCCATGCAGGCCACAGTCTTCTGAGACCCCATGCCCTGCTTTCTGTAGTTATAAATAGTAAAACTGGTCTCACTATAGACGTTGCAGGGTTGCTATAAAGATGGCAGCCAAAGCCAGGCTTTCCTGTACACACCTACGATCCCAGGCTAAAGGGGCAGGCTACATAGTGAGATCTGGTCTCAAAAAAAAAAATCTAACAAGCAAAAGATAGCAATGCATGCCAACTTAGGAATGGCCGAGGCTGTGTGATCAGCGCAGAACCGAATACAGTTGAAAGGCAGAATAGACCTAACTGTGCATGGAAACCATAGGTCAGCATTCTAGAAGTCAGGGCTAGCAACACCAAGGATAGGGACTCGGTAGGTAGCTTGCCACATATGTGAGAACTAGAGCTTGGATCCACAGAACCCCACATGAGTATCAGGTAGTCATGGTGGCCCACCTGTAATTTCTGCCTCAGAAGGAAGGAATAAGGGATCTTCGGAGCAAGCTAGCTAACAAGACCAACCATAAGAGACAAGCTCCAGGCTTGACTGAAAGATCTGCCTCAGTGACGTAAGAAAGAAGACTGGGAACAATTCTCACCATCGATCTTGGCTCTCTACATAACTTGTGTATACATGGACACATGCACACACACACACATACACTCACATTCTCTCACATATGTGTAAGCACACACACACACACACACACGCACGCACGCACGCGCGATGGAAAAAGAAAGATCAACAACAACAACACAAAGAAGCCGCTGCTCTTGGTAGCTCTTTCACAGCCGCCAAAAGAGCTGCTTATTTGGTGGTGTCTGAGTCGGCCTGATGCCAGGCTGAGCCTGGAGTACCTGCCAAACACGTTCTGCTCCTGACTTCCTGCCCAGATTCTAGTAGCCAGTTTCCATCTGCTGGCAAATATTCCGATCTGGATGTACCTGGGCCACTCTGAACTGAATCCTCACATTCTCCCTGCCAACATTCTGTCCTGAGCCTCTAGTTTGTCCCGGCCTCTTTGCTGTCTCTTTCTCTCAGCCCTCATGGAGACTCTTTCCAAATCTGCTATCATTCATTTTCTACAGCAGCACTCTAATCTGCTCTTGTTTTTTTATTTCTACTGCCCCCTGCAGACCTGGGCATCTACCTGTATACATCTCCAAGCTACTACAAGAACCTTCTAGCAGAGTTCTATCCCAGGGACGGGATCCCTCTGCCCAGAAGAGTGACATCTCCTTTCCCTGGCATCCTCCATGTATGGCTCGGCTCTAAGCCTTCGTCCATTCACAATCTTGTTTTCCCAAAAAAATTTTTAATTAAATTCAATTTTTGTATGTCTAAATGTGCGTAATTTTATTGGTAATTAAAATAAAGTATTAAATACTTGGTTTTAGCAATTCCAAACTTTTAAAATATAGTGCATAAAAATCAATACCAAACATACTAGAATTATAATTCAGAATTTAGAAGTCTTTGTTGTCTGGTTTTTTTCTTGATTAAATTCATTCTTAGATAATTCCACGCATGTACACAGTGTTAGATTCTGGAAGGGAAGGAATCATTGTCGCCGATTAAATTCTTTTTTTTAAATATTTATTTCTTTATTTGTTATGTATACAATATTCTATCTGTGTGTATGCCTGCAGGCCAGAAGAGGGCACCAGACCTTATTACAGATGGTTGTGAGCCACCATGTGGTTGCTGGGAATTGAACTCAGGACCTTTGGAAGAGCAGGCAATGCTCTTAACCACTGAGCCATCTCTCCAGCCCTTAAATTCTTTTTTAAACAAGATTTAAAGTTATTTTTACTTGTGATCTAAATATTTTCTGTCACTCGGCTTCTCACTCATTCATCCATCCACCCATTTGTTGCCAGGATACAGGTCGTAAGTAACCTCGTGTGTCTT